TGGGCAAACTTATGAAGTAATAAAGGGTAAAGTGAACAGAGACTGGAGAAGAATGTATACTGTAAAATAAACATTGTAAAAACAAGCAATTTTGAAAGACTTTTAAGAACTCTGATTAATGCAGTTATCAACTATGCTTTCAGAAGACCGACAGTGAAGAATTCTACCCATATCCTGACAGAGTAGTGAGGACTAATATGGAGAATGACATATACAGTTTTGAATGACAGCAAATATAAGCATTTCTTGGCTTTACTTGTTACAAGATGTTGTGCCAAAATCACTTTGATGCCAAAGTGTTGTTTGTTTAGTTGTGTCAGTTGTGTCAGACTCTTTCATAACCTCATTTGGGTTTTTCTTGACAAAGATACTAAAGTGGCTTGTCATTTCCCTCTCTAGCTCATTTTACAGATGAAGAAACTGGGGCAAACAGGTTGAAGTGACTAGCACAGCTCACACAGCTAGTAAGTGTCTGAGGTCAGTTTTGAACTCATGAAAATGAGTCTTCCTGACTCCAGGGTCAGTACTCTATCCACCATACCACTAGTTGCCCTAGGTGTCAAAGTGAGAGGGAGGAAAATAAATGTTGGATAGTCAAAAAGATTTAATATTTTTAAAAGGGAGTACTACCCATAGTACTTATGTTCTTGGATTTGTCAAACATCAGGCTACTATTTTCTGTGATTTCTACTTTTTGCTGACCTTGTCTGTTTTACTGATCTACTTTTCTCTTTTTAACCTGTACCAAATTGTTTTGATGACTACTGCTCTTTAATGTAGTTTGAATCTTGATAATACTTTACCCCCTTCATTCATATTTTGTATCATTATTACCCTTGAGATTCTAGACTTTTGGTTCTTCCAGTTGAATTTTGTTATTATTTCATCTAGATTATAAAGTTTTCTCTCAATAATTTACTGGTATAGTACTGCCTGTAAAATAATTAGGTTAATATTGTAATCTTCATTATACTGACCTGGTCCATCTGTGAGGTGTACATCTGTATTTTCTATACTGAGAACTAAACAATTGTGGCACTGTTGGGAGAGTATAATGTGACTATCATTTTCCACTTTCGTGAACTGTCTCTACATAGCATAACATGTCAATGGCTTTTTTACCTACTGTGTCATGCAGTTGACTCACATTTTTTCTGTCATTCACTATAATCCCCAGATCTTTTTCATGGGACTTGTTTTAACATATTTCTCATTCAACACTCATGGAATTAATTGGGAGGTATTTTTCCATTTTTAAATACAACTTATACAAATTGACCAATCATTTTATAGTGTTAAAATCTCATTGGATATGGACTCTGTCATCTAAAATGTGTGTTATTCCTTCCAGCTTCATTTCATCTACACATTGGACAGGCATTCCATCTCTGCCTTCATCCTAGTCTTTGATGAAAATGTTGACTAGCATTTACCCAAAGATCCCCTGTGGCAGTACAGTAGAGATCTCTCTCTTAGTGTACGATGACCTACTAAACTGCTCTTTAAGTATGGTCATTCTGAATATTCCAAATCGACTGAATGATACTATTACTTATCACATTTCCCTGTATCTACTATGCTGTCAAGCATAGTGTGAGAGATTTTACAAAATGCAGCGCTGAAGTCTAAGTGTACTGTCAATCAACAAGCATTTTTATAGTTTCATTTCTTATTCTGAACATAAACATAAAAAGAGCATTTCCATACATACAGCAGAACACAAAAGGGTAGGGTTCTGTATGAAACTGTGAATCTCTTGCCTTTTTTTTCCTGAAAGTATATAATAGATTCTGCAAATTACTTTCAAAACTTCCTCCTGAACTTCTTTCTCCTATCTTCTATGCATTTTTTTCCAAAATGTTTCAATGATACCCTTTTTTGGACAGCACTGTGTCTAACTCACTCTTTCCCCCTTAGTATTCCCCTCTCCCAATTAATCAGTAGGAAGAAAGGGATAAGAAAGGTTTGTACCAAACAAAGTCAAGGAAAATTAAAGCAAACAGTAGTCATATCCAAAAAACTAAGTCTCTGCACCTTGTGTCCATGACCTCTCTGTCAGGAAGTGAACATGCTTCATCATAGGGACTCTGAAGATAATGGTTGACCATTGCTTTGATCAGAATTCTTAAGGCTTTCAAGATGGGGGAGGGAGGGAGGGAGAGGCAGAGACCGAGGGACAACTAAATCTCTTCCTAACCTAATAATGAATGTGTCTTTCCTAGAGAATATTAAGCAGTTTGTAGATATCGCTTTCATCTGTTAGTTCAATGTCACCTCTCAATTTAAGGTTGAAGCCTTCATTCACTCTCTTTTCTTGGGGTACAGTAAGAATTTTAGACTTTTTTCTTGATATATGTTAAAAATTTTACTGAGTCCAAATGACTTTTATTTATTTATTATTTATTTGTTTATTAGCAAAAGCCTACACAAGATGAAAAAACTATCTAATTAAGGGGTTCTTAACCTTTTTAATGTCATGGACCTTTCTAAGTCAAGGAAAGCCTATGAACCACTTCTGAGTAATGTTTTTAATTAATAAAATGAAATGCTTAGGATTAAAAAGGAAACTATTTATATTGAAATTCATTTATCAAAGTATTAAAAAAAAAAAGTTCATGGATCCCAGGACCATGAAACCCTTGTTTAATATTTTTTTCAGTTGAGACATATACTTTGATGCCCTCCATGTATATGACATTATTAATATATGGTGGTTCAGCTTAGCTTCTTTAATTTAGAAGTCATATTTAGTCCTATTTAGAAGAAATGATAGTGCATTTAAGTCTAGATTTTATATCAGTTCTTCTTGGCATTACTGTTGGGGTGTTTTAAATAGAGCGATTTTCCACGTAAATATCAAATATTCTGTTATTTTCACTATATTTGTGTCGGTTGTTTATGTTTGCCGTACCTGATTGAGCCATATCTTCAGAATTGAGTCTAAGGTTTTGTGTTAATTAACCAACACAGTATAAATGTTGGAGTCTTTTGAGTAACTGAAATAATTACTGAACCAATAATAATTTACTCTTTAAACACCTGAGACCTTTTGGCATATTCTTATTGTTCTTCAGCCAATATATTATTTTCTTATCAATGATAATAAATTCTATTAGTGATCAAACTGAGTTTTCATTTATTGCTGTTGGTTGCATGGTTTGTCCTTCATTTTTGAAAAGGACCATGACATCAAGGAGATGATGACATGACTTGCAATTGAATTGGATTTGAGTGAAGCAGGTCTGTGCAAGGTCACCAACCTTACTTTCTCCTCTAGATCCATGTGGGTCCAGTGGCCAGATACAGATCAGGATGACTGGAGATGGCCCAGGATGCTGTGGGAGACCTTGACCTTTTTAAGCTAAGGTCTTTCTGAGTTCTCACTTTGAGTGAAGCAATGTCCATTCCTTGAATGGGCCTCAATCAAACTGGGAGGGGAAGACTCTCAGAGTTGCTGGCCAAAAGAGAAACAGATACTATTTATAGTCAATCTGAGCCTGTATCATTTCTTTTGATTCTTAAAATAGCCCCACAGGGCTGTCCTTCACTGAACAGATGAGAAAAGTGAGACAAAGACAAGTACTATACCTTACCTAAGGTTACTGAATTATTAGTAAAAGAGCCAATGCTCAAATGCAATTCTAACTTTCAGTTCAGTGATATTCCAACTACATAGAAACATGCCCAGGAGAATGAGACTAAAGAAAAGGCAGGAAAAGATAGTTGGTGACCTTGAAGAGAAGAGGTTTCGTATGGAACTGCTCCTCGTATATTCTACATTCTGCCAAACTAGTGAAATCTCCCTTCTCCTTACATGACATCTTGTTGTCTATTACCATGCCTTGCACAGGCTGCCCTGTGCCTAAAACACACTTCCTCACCTCTGCCTCTTAGATTTCTTTCTTTCCTTCAAGGCTTTGCTCAAGTGTTCTGTCATGTACAAGACCTTACCTAATTCCCCCAGTAATATATATATATTATATATATATATAGTATGTATATATATATTATATGTATATATATGTGTGTATATATATATATATATATATATATATATATATATATACTCACTTATAGACATGTACATGTAAATATAAGTACATATATATCTCTAGGGAGGGAGACACACATATATGTATTTAGTATTGGTTTATCTCTATGTGTATTTTCTTCCTGGTAGAATGTAAGTTAAGAGCAGGGTCTTTAATTTTTGTTTTTGTATCCCCAGAGATTGTCCCTGAGCCTTGCATATAGCAGATTCATAATACATGCTTGTTGACTCTTAAGTGGGTGAGTCAATGAACAAATAAATGGTAAAGAAGAAAAATGGAAAACAGCAAGTGGATAGTAAGGACATACAGATGTTAAAGCAAACAATTCTGATAAGTTTAGCCATAAAAAATAAGAAAGGAATGAAAATGATAAATGAAAGGTAGTGTGATCACATGAAGGTGTGTTCCAAGCTTTTATAAGGAGAAAAGTTCCTTCCATAATTTCTTTTTTACCCTCATGAGAACTCTCTGAGGTTGGCAGTACAGGTGTATCTGCCCATGTGACCAATTCTTTCCAGTGTAAAGAAAATATTTATTTAGCATTCTTATTATAAGGGTTGTATTATTTAATGGAGGTTGAAAAGAAAAGCTGCATAATCATTTGAGCCTTGTCATTTGAGTAACCACCTCTGGGGCCCAGGATTCCCTGCTTTGTGTTGCAGGATCTCTTGAATGTGTAGCCTTTTTGTACCATTGGAAATTAATGAATTTTTAATTTCCCATAAATGTCACCTCAGAGCTTATTACTAATGATGTAGCTTGCAGAAATGCTAAAATTTTTGTTAGCTACTTCAGGGGTATTGAAAGGGATCTCCTTTTCATGTCTTCTGTGCTTCCTCCTACTCAGTAATCATGCAGAGGAAACTCAAGTGTTTCATCTTGATTCATATTCCTAAAAGGCAAATATATATTTTAGCTGTAATTATAATGAAATACTTTTTGGTACAGGGTTGGTAAACTGGCGGATGCCCATATGAATCTCCAAGACATCCAACTTTCTTCTTCATGGAATGAGAAAGAGGAAATAACCAGAAAACAATCAATTACTAGAAAACATCATGTTTGGAAAAAGAATCAGTTTAACAAGTTCATGACCACAAACATACCAAGTATCTCTCATATGATGTTCAACACTGGGGTGAGTACTTTTCTTGGGACAAATAGACTGTTGGGCTTGGTTTAGAGCACGAGGGATATGTTTTGAAGTCTACAAAATTTGGAGATGTCAGCAATGGAGGGTCCAGCCATATTTAAGGTTCTGTCCACTCTATTGCAAACCTGACTATTGACATGTAGATTGGATTTATACTATTATAAATACTACCATGGAGACCTCTTGCAAAGACCATGAACTGATACTCTTATTCTTTAGAGTCAGTTACCTCTGCTTTAGGCTATCTCATTTCATCCTTCCCCTCCCCCCGCATTTATTTGTCAGTTTGACTGAAGTTGACCAGGCCCTGGCAAACTATAAGTAATCAACATATGGAACATTGATTCAAATTTAGGCATTTCCATTGGAAACAGTAATTGTCTAATGAAATGTCACCATGTCCATGGGTTCACTCTGTAGACTCCTAGATAAAATCTAAAGACTGATTTATGGAACATGTACTCATGGAAAGATGAATTATATGGCACTAAGAATAATTTGGAAGGCAGTGAATAAAAGACCAGTTTTGGACTCAGGAAGAATTGAATTCAAGTCTTGCTTGATAGATACTATCTTTGTAAACAATTAAAATTTAATTTAGTTTCCCAAGGCCCCTGACAGCTCATACTATGTTAGAGAAGTTACTGATTTCTTTTGATAGAGTTTCTGCACTTAGAGTTCCCCACATTTATGAAATCATAGGTCTGGATCTCCTCCCCCATTTTTTACCCCGTTTATTGATTTATTACTGGGACCTTTGGCATATGTCGTAAAGGTTTTATATGCAGTGATTTTCAGTATCATGGCTGCTGGTCTGTAGAAAGATACATGAATTATCGTGAATATTGGTAAAGAAAGCCTACCCTATATCCATCCTTCTTCTCCCCGCCTTCCATTCCTTCTATGAGTTCCTCTGACTGAATATACAGCTGAGAGCACAGTGGGCAAGCATTTCTTGAGTTTATCCCCCTCAATTCATCCTAGTGAATTTGCACTAGCTGCTCAATCAATCTCTTCACTTGTGCACAGCTACTACTCAAAATATATATGTAGCATATTTATCCTGACAGGTCAATAGCCTCATTGAATAAATATACTAAACTAAAAAGGGACATACTAGGGAACAGGGGCAAAACAATGGTAGAGAGTAGTCCAAGAGGGAGAGCAGGATAGGTATGTGAATAGGCAAGCAAAACAAACACAGATGTTGGAGGTAAGAATTTGAAGAGAGGATTAAAAGAAAAGATGAATATTTTAAAACCTAGATTCAGAGGTAGAGAAAAAGCAAGAGAACAGCTGCAACAGAGAGGAAACAGGTTATTTTACTTATAAGAACACAAGTATCTGGCAAACTCCTGATCTTCTACCACCTTCTTATTTACAAAGGGTAAGGAAGGTATGCAAAAAGAGAAAGAAGAATAAGAGGATAGGATAGAATAAAAAACACAGTTATCAAATTGTGTGTTATTATTATATAAAGTTTACAAATATAACGTTGTGAATGAGATGAACTCACCCATATGACAAAAGACTACAAAATGTATTAGAAAGCAGAATCCAACAATGCATTTTTTTAATATGCTTGAAACATTTGCCTAAAGTTAAAATGGGGGACTGAAGCAAAATCCATAATGCTTTAGTTGACCTAAAAAAAAAAAGAGGGAGAGCAATCAGGATTATAGGAAAGGCTACAATAAATGTAGACTTGATAAAAAGAAATAAGCAGAAAAATCACATTGTGTTTAAAGGCATCATAGATAGTAAATCAATATCAACACTTCATATGTGAGCAGCAAATAGGATAGCATTTAAATACTTAAAAGAAAAGTTAATCAAATTGGAGGGGAAAATAGACAGTAAAACTACAATAGTGGTGGACCTTAATGTATCCTTTTCAGACCTAGACAAGTCTAACCAAAAGACATGCAAGGAAAAAGTTAAGAAGCTAAATAGAAAAATTAGAGATTATAGATCTTTGGCAATTACTGAATAGGAATATAGAAGAGTTTGCAAAACTGACCATTTATTGGGGCATTAAGACCTCACCAAAAAAACACAGAAAAGCAGAAATACTAAAGACATCATCTGCTTATCAAAATGCAATAATTTAAATTCAATAAAAGATCCTTAAAGAATGAATTTAAAAAGTAATTGGATGTTAGATTGCAGAATGCTAAAGAATTGGTGGGTCAAAAAAACAATAGAAAATTCCATCAAAGAAAATGACAATAATGGTGTAACATATCAAAACTTATATGATACAGCTAAAGCACTTCTGAGGGAGAAATTTATTTTTTAAAAATGTTTGCTTCAACAAAAGAAATAACAAATCAATGATTTAGACATGAAATTTAAAAAAGAATTTTAATACAACCCCCAACTAAGTAACAAAGTAGAAATTCCAAAAGGAAAGGATTGTCAGTATTATTATTATTAATAATAAATTTGATTCTTAATAATTTTATTAAACAGCCAGTTATTTAGCTTTGTCACCATTTCTGCAAAGACTGTTTTATAGTTGGTTTTATATAACCCCTGAGTGACTCTTGGTAAACATACCCCCAAATATCTTTTAATTTACATAGTTATGTTAAATGAAATTCATCTCTCTAGCACTTCATGCTGGGTTTGTGCTATATAAAAGCTAGTTATAACTATTAGTAATAATAATAACAACTAATCAATAATAGCAACTAGCATTTATATAGCACTTTACAGATATCTCATTTATTCTTACAACATACCTGGAGATAGATGCTGCTGTTTTCCCTTTAACATATCAGGAAACTGAGGCAGGCAGAGGTTAAGTGACTTGTCCAGGATCTCACAGGTAATGTCTGAAGTTAGATCTGAAATCAGATCTCCCTGAGTATAGAGTTAGCACTCTGTCTACCATACCATCAAGCTACTTCTTTTTATAAGATTGAAAAAAAAAATCATTGAATTGATAAATTAGTAGTTTATATACATATATATATATAGAGAGAGAGAAACAGCTAGTAATTTATATATTGTATATATATATTATATATAAACAGCTTATTTTTAAGAGAATATCAAATTTTTCACATCAAAAATTTTTAGAGAATTTACAATAATTAAAAAGGAAATAAAGGAAATTATCAGAAACTACTTTGTCTAATTAGATGCTAACCACCAACTGATAAGTTAGAGGAAATAGACAAATATTTTTAAAAATATGAACTACGCAGTTTAGCAAAAGAAGTAATAGATTATTTTAAAAATGCAATATCAAAAAAAGAAATTGAACAAGTGATATATGAATTCCCAAAGGAAAGGATATACAAATGAATTCTACCAAACATTCACAAAGAATAGTTAATTCCAGTATTATAGAAACTGTTTGCAAATTGAAGCAAAAAGGCACTGATCCAATCTCTTTCTATGATCATTAAACCAAGAGGAGAAAAGAAGAGAAAGAAAACTTTAGACCAACATCCTCAATGAACACTGATGCAGAAAAATAAATAAAATGTTAAAGTCAAGTTTATACTATGAATGTTGGGTTGTTTCAATAAGTCATATGAATAAAAAATGACTATATCAGTATATTCTGAAAAGGATTTTGATAAAATCCAAAACTTATTTCTATTAAAACCTCTAGGAATCAGTGGGAAAAATCAACTTTTCTTTAATGTGTTAAATAACATTTATCAGTATCAAAGAGAAAACATTTTATGTAATGGAAAATAGAGGCCTTCACAGTAAGAACAGAGATAAAACAAGGATGCCCATTGTTACCACAACTATAACACACTACTAGAAATGTTTTTTTGTTTGTTTGTTTTTGGTTTTGGTTTTTGGTTTTAAGCAATGGGCTTAAGTGACATGCCCAGGGTCACACAGCTAGTAAGTGTTGTGTCTAAGGCCAGATTTGAACTCAGGTCCTCCTGAATCCAGGGCTGGTGCTCTATCCACTGCACCACCTACCTGCCCCTAGAAATGTTAAAGGTAGCAATGACAAGAATAAAAAACTGATGGAACAAGCATAAGTAAAGAGGAAATAATTATCACTTTTGGTAGACAATATTGTGGTGTACTTAAAGTGTACTTAAAGAACCTTAAAAATTAATTGAAATAACTTTACTTCAGCAGAGTTGTAGGGCATGACATAAATCCACAAAAACCATCAACAATCATAATATATACATACATGTATGTACATATGCATTCATATACATGTATATAGACATATGTGTGTATATGTGTGTGTGCGATATATATAACCAACGAAACCCAGCATGATAAGCTAAAAAGAAAAATTCCATTCAAAATGATCACAAAAATTTTTAAATATTCGAAAGTATATCTACCAAGATTCTCCCTGGGACTATATGAAACTAACTATAAAGCACACTTTATAGAAATAGAAGAAAAAACTAAACAATTGGAGGCACATTAACTGCACATTAACATATGAGCCAATATTTTAAAAATGACAAATGTTATCCAAATTAATTTACTAATTCAGTTCTGTACCAAACTCCCAGAGGAATATTTTATAGAGCTAGAAAAAATAACAAAAACCCATGTGGAAGAACAGAAGATCAAGAATCTTAAGAGCAATAATGAAGAAAAAGATTCCCATTTTTGGAGTTGGCCAGTTGAGATCTGATATTGGTTGAGCAGAATCAACCAGTACCAGATCTCAAACTGTTGTGATTATAAAAATAATTTATTACTGGTTTGAAAAATAGGTTGATGTGTGGAACAGATTACATATGCATATGGAAGCAAATAAACCTAATAGCATACTGTTCAGTAAACCCAAAGACCCCAGTTACTGGGTAAAAAATTCAATGTTTGGCAAAAACTGCTGGGAAGACTGGCATAGAATAGATTTAGACTGATATCTCACACTACACACTAAGATATACCCCAAATGGACACATGACCTAGATATAAAATGGCACATCATACACAAATTAGATGAGCAATGAAGAAATTATTTTTCATTATCTTTGGATAATGGAAGTTTATGATTGAAGAGGTGATAGGATCACATAAAATCAAATGGACAATTTTGATTATACCAAATTTTTAGTTTTTACACAAAACATCTACTACACCAAAAATTAGAAGAAAATTGGTAGTTGCAAAAAAAAATCTTCACAGCACATTTCTCTGATAAATGTCGCCTTTGTAAGATATAAAATGAAATGATTCAAATTTATAAAAAAGAAGATCCAATCCTTAACAGATAAATGGTCAAAGAATACAAATAGGCAGTTTTGAATGTAAAAAATCCAAGCTATCAGCAATATGAAACAATGCTACAAATTACTAATAATTAAAGACATACAAATTAAAGCATCTCTGAGATTCCACCTAATACTTACTAGATTGACAAACATGACAAAAATTAAAATCACAAATGTTGAAATGGGTATGAGAAAATAGACACATTAATGCACTATTGATGGAGTTGTAAATTTATTCAGCCTTTTTGGAAAACAATTTGGAATTATGTTTAAAAAAAGTCACCAGACTATGTATATCCTTTTAACCTAGCTTTACCACTACTAAACCTATCTCCCCTCCCCACCCCCAAGAAATCAAAAAAGAAGTTAGAAATATGTGTACAGAAATAATTATAGAAGCTTTTATTGCAATAGCCAAAAATTGGAAACTAAGGGGGCATCCTGTTGGGGAATAACTAAACAAATTGTAGTATATGAATGTAATGGATGCATCATGCCATCAGAAATGATGAAGTGTATAGTTTCAGAGGAAATTTGAGAAGATCTCTATGAACTGATAAATAGGGAAGTGAGGAGAACAAGGAGAGAAATTGATGCAATAATAAATTTGTAGAGAAAACCAACTTTGAAAGATTTTTAGAACTCTGCCCAGTGCCATGATTAACTATAAATCCAAATGAATGAAGGCAAAATATTCTACTCACTTCCTGACAGAGAGATGATAGACTTAAGATGCAAACAGATATACATTTCTCAGTATGCTCCATGTGTGAATTTGCTCTGCCAGGCTATATTATTTTTTTACCTTCTCAATGGGGAAGAGGTGAGTGGGAGGGACTTGTTTCACTAAACTTTATGTTATACAGCATAATATTTTTGTATAATATTTTTAAAATTCCATCTGTATATGTAATGCTATGTATTATCCAAATATATTATTTTTGTGATTGTTTAAAAATTGGCAAAGTATATGGCACATTGTCTCAAACATATGTGTGTGCATATACACACATGTTATTAAAGTTTAAAATTACACTGAGACTTTTGGAACACTCTGTGTATATGTGTATGTGTAATCCCAAGAACCATTCCCCAAAAGATGCATGGTCAAAGAATACAAAGAGTTTTCCAAAAAAATTGCCAACTATATTAAGTACATTAAAACATGCTGCAGATCATTAATAGTAAAAGAAATACAAATTAAAACAATGCTGAGATTTTACCTCATGCCATGGAAATTGGAAAAGATAGCAAAAGATTCTCCATAGATCTAGTCAATTGCTAAATCTTGTTATTTCCATCTCCACAACCTATAACATAGTTCTCCTTCTCTTCACTCACGTGGCCACCAGCCTAAGTTTAGGCATTCATCATCTGACCTAGATTTTTGCAATGACCTCCTAACTAGACTCCCTGCCTCAACTATCACCCTACTCCAATCCTACCACACCCCTGCCAAAGTGATTTTCTTAAAGCAAAGGTCTAACCACATTACCCATCCACCCCACACCCTATTCCAAAAACTCTAGTGGCTTATTTCTCCTAAGATCAAATATAAATTTCTATTTGTTTCCTTATAGCCTTACCTTATCAATTACATGTTACTTCCCTTCCTATACTTTACAGTTTAGCTAAACAGCTCTATTCCTCACATACAACATGCCATCTTTTCTCTCCATGAGATGTCATGGGCAATCTTCCATGCTTGGAATTCATTACCTTCTCACTTTTGTCACTTAGTATATCCCTTGTTTCCTTCAAGACTCAATTCAACAACTACCACTTTCTTAACAAGACATTTTTTGATCACCTCCCCACTGCTAATGCCTTTCCCACTCTATTGTATCTATTTTATCAATTATATATGTCTCATCTAAACACACACATACATTTCATTTCCCCTCTTGGAATATAAATCCCTTGGGAATTAGTCTGTTTTATTTTTGTCTTCATATTTCTAGCACTTAGCATAGTTCCTGGCACATTTAATTAATAAATTGATTGGTTGATTAGATTATTTTTTTCTAAGAGTTTGCCAGTAAAAGGCAGAAAGATATAGAATAATAGCTTAAGGGGATGGTAGAGTTAAATTTCATATACACACACACACACATTATACACATCATGCATATTTTTTAAACCTAGAGAATACCTGAGTATGTTTGTAAGTAGCAAAGAAGGTACCAGTATAGAAGGAGAAACTGAAGATGAAAGAGAATGAGGAGATGATTAAAAGGGCAAGCAATTAGAGTTGCTAGGAGAGGATAGGATAGAGAAAACAAGAGAAAATGTCATTGGCAAATAATTGGGCAACTTTTTATGCAGAGAATGGAAACTTTGGAGTTCAGGAACCTCTTCTTTCTGCAGGACCACATCAACCCTGGGACTGACACCTCTTGGCCCTGGGGCCCCTCTGATTGGAAGGCTGAGAACTCCTCCTGGAACCTCCATTGAAGGAGGGCACCCAGGCTAGCCGTCTCTTTTTTCCCTACCTGCTCCTCATGGCACCATGCTAGATACTTTCCCTCCCTTCTATTTCTTCTTTTTTAACTTCTTTTTTGGTTTGTTTGTTGTCTTCACTCTTAGATTGTAACTACTTGAGGGAAGGGACTTTCTTCTTTGTGTTTGTATTCCCAGAACTTAGCACAGTGCCTGACACATAGTAGGTGTTTAATCAATGTTTGATTGACTGACTGACAGGCTCAGTCTGAAAAGGATTTCAAGTTGAATAGCTTGCTTTTGTCTGAGACCATTGTAATGACTGTGTATCTCTTTCCTTATTCTAGTATAAGCTCTACTACCAGCAATTCCATGCCATGTTCAGCAAAAGAGCTATGTACTGTTGGCGCAACTGGAAGATGACATTGATACACATTTTGGCACCGCTGGTATTCAGTTCCTTATATTTCAGTAGCTTTAATTCTATAATTTCTCAAGATTATCCAGTCTTGAAACTGGATTTGAGTGAATATGGCAAAACCATTGTCCCTTTCTCTGTCTCTGGAAATACATCTCTACTTAATAAGTTCTCAAAATACTTGAGTATTATGCTAAAGAATAGAGGACAACAGCCCATATTGGTGAGAGGTAAGAACCATGTGATTAGTGTCTGATGGTGTGAACAACTGGTCTATATAATGAAATCATAGAATTTAGAGCCAGAAGGGAACTGGAAACTGATGTTTAGAGTGATTAAATGACTTGCAAAGTGACCCAGATAGAAAGCAAGAGTACTAAGAATTTAAATGCTTCCTTTGACTCCAAACTCAGTGCTCTCTCTGCCACAGCACACCATACTACTTGAAAAGAGATTGGACTCTAGAGGGTTGGAGAGGTGGGGGAGAAGCAGGGGAGCAGCAGGTAGAATACAAACATGAAGAAAGAAGTACAACTTTCTTGGCTTTTATCTCCAATACTAACTAGAAGCAATTTGACTGCAAGCCTTCTTCCAACTTTCAGCTACCTACCATATGCCAATGACTGACTGTATGGGTTAATATAGTAGGTATCACACAGAGTGTTTCATAAACCTCTAGCTATCCAAGGTCTCCCAAGTACAGAATGGTATGTAATCTGAGTGACTCTAAATACAGGATGCATATTAATCTGCTTTCTCAGTATGTTTTATGGAAACAGTAACTATGAAGGCTGAATGAACTGACTCAGCATCAGTTCATTCTGGAGGCACAAATCCAATGCCTAGGGAATATATACACATACATACACACACGTAAATACACATGTATATACATATATTTTTAAATTTGACTTGAATTTTTGTGAACCTGTAATTATTTCATTTTTTTCTAAAATAAAATTTTATTCTTCTGTTTGGGGAGTCAAGAGTATAGAGATGCCAAGGAAATTCCTTTATCCGTATATATCTTGTATATCCCTATTTATGTATATATTTGTCTTCCTCATGATAATGTAAGCTCCTTTGCTTTTTTGTTTCTTTGTTTCTTCAGCACTTAGTTCAGTGCTAGGCATCTAATAAGTCCTTAATAAATGCTTTTAAATTGATTGATTATGTAGCACTTTCTCTGAGCTCATCTTCCCAACTCCCACTCATCCTGGCAAGGCAGGTTCCCAGGAGGGTGATACTCAACCATCCTCTGGGGACCTAACCTGCATGTTAGGGTACATGGGTGTTAGGAGAGAAAGACCAGAGAGGATGCTACAATGAATTGATTGATTGATTATAGCTTTGGGGTTCACTTATTCATTGTTTTGTGGATTTGGGGAAATAAATCTTATTTTTCCTTCTGTACATATGATTTACCCAGTTAGTTTTCTTGCTTGGGATTTAGGTTTATGTCTAATGTTTTTGTCATTTCAGTCTTTTTTTTTCTCTTCATGGCAGTTTGTCTCTGGCTTCTTTTCTCATGGTTTGGCCCCTCTCACTCCTACTATTGGGAGCATATTTTCTTTTGTATAGACCCCTGAAACTTAGCTTGAGTTAGTCACCTCAAATTGGTAGTTGTGGAAACTGGCAGTCTCCCAGCCCTGTATGAATTCCCATAGGAGAGGACTGACCACAGCTAGGTTTCTAGCCCTTTTCCCTCAAACTGTAAAATCCTGTACATCCTATAGGGACACAATTTTAAATACATTGAAGGATCAGTTTTCAAAATAGCTCAGAGAGAAATACATGCATATTTAAACAAAATCACAGATGATATTATTATGAAAAATGAAGACTTCAGCAACTGCTAAAATAGTAAGGAGATCAATGCCACTGGATCACAGAGTAATTAGAGAGGCAATAAGGTATAAAAAGACTAGAAAGGTAGGAAGGGCCCAGGTACAAAAAGCTTTAAAAGCCAAAGAAAAGACTTTATATTTGATCCTGGAGGTCATAAGGAGCCACTAAAATTTATGGAATGGGTCTGGGAGGTGGGGCAGAGGAAAGGTTCACATGGTCAGATCTATACTTTAGGAAGATCATTTTGACAGCAGAATGGAAGATAGACTGGAGTGTGGAGAGAGATTTGAAGCAAGGAGACCAACCAGCAGGCCATTGTGATAGTCCAGTCATGAAGTGATAAGAAGAGAAGGAAAAAATGTTTCCAGGGTAGAATTGACAGAACTTAGCGATTGATTGGATCTGGGGGATGGTGAGAGGGGTTAGAGAAAATGAGAGTCAAGGAAGACATCTAGGTTATGAACCTGAGTGACTGGGAGAATGGTGATACCTTGACAGTATACTGAAGTTAGAAAGAGTGAAGGATTTTAGGGGTAAGATCATTAGTTAAGTTTTGGACATGTTGAACATCCAGTTCAGGAAGTCCAGTAGGCAGTTAGAGATGTGAGACTGAAGGTCAAGAGAGACATTAGGACTGGACAAGAGGTTATTGGGATCATAACTGTCATAGAGGTTATTATTAATAATTACCCCCATTTTACTGATGAGGAAAGTGAGGTTAAAAAAATTTAAGTGAGTTGTCCATAGTCATACAGCTCTGTGTCAAAGGTAAGTCTCTCAGACTCCAAGTCAATGCTACCTCTATGATCAGAAAAGAAGATGGACCAATCATAGAGTGAGAATGAAATAAAAAATAATGGATAATTTGAGTACCACATTGGTTCCCACAAAAGGTTTTTAAAAACAAAAATAAACAAACAAAAACAGGACAAGGCCTTCAGCCTATGAAGTGCATCTTCTATGGAGGTACTGTGGGTGAGCCTGGAAGGGAATCACACAAGAAGGCTGGGAAAGGATGTGATCTTTGCTGTTGGAGAGAATATCTATATACTGAGATCCCTAGTGATAAGAATCCTTCATGATAAGAGACTAAAGTATCAATCATAAAAGTCCTGCACAGACCAGTTGTTTCCTTTTAAAGGCACAAGAACATACATAAGCATAATTTGTTAACTAGAGCTCACAGCTGTAGTTAGTGGTCAAAGTGGAATCAGAATGCTGGTTTCCCAGCTCCTAGTATAGTATCCTTTCCATTATGCTTAGCTCCTTCCACAAAATCAGTTATTTGTTAAAATAGTCATAAGGACTAATTAACTCTAAAGAGATAGATAAACCTGAGCAGTAGTAGCAAAATTCAAAGGAAATAGGAATAATGTCATAATTCACTCACTCTCTTTTCTACTTGTCAATTGCTGCTTAACTGAATCTTAGTTGTCTTTTTTTTCAAGAAATTAATTTTATCTCATTGATCTCATCTGGGCTTTGAAAAACACCACTTTGGTTTTCAGCCTATCAGAACCTTTTTTAAACTGCTAAGTGTTGGTATAAGAAATTCCCATGACTTTTCTACCTGGGGTCCATGAACTTGTTTGCTTTGATAACAACTGTGTTTCAATATAATTGGCTTCCTTTCTAATTCTGTATGTTTTATTTTATGCATTTAAAGATATTATGCTGAGTAAGGATCCTTAGGCTAACCAACTGCCCAAGAGATTTGTGCCATGACACAAAAAAGGTCAAGAACCTCGGCAACCAATTTGCCTTGCTGAATTATTTGAAGAATTGCTTTGAGTATCCTAGTAAAAGAACTTTACTTATGACTATATTCTGCTGATCTCATGCAGTTTTTCTTTGCCCCAAGATCCAGTGTTCAATGAGAAAGAAATCTTTGATAACTCATTAGTACATACCCCACCCCTAAGCCCTGTGACTATTCTTTCCAAATTAGGGAACAGTTAACCAAGTTTTCGTATAGCATCCCCTTCCTTTTCCCTTTCCATCTGATAACATGCAATATAATTTTTTTTAATCTTTGTTGTAGTTGCCAATATTGTAAAATTAAGATGATTCCTAATTTCTTTGGAGATTTTGTTTTGACACAGATAATTTTAAAGGAATTTCTTAGAAAAGTCATGTCATTTTAGCTACTGAACCTTTGAAAAAGAAAAGATTTAAACCAAGTTATATAATAGTTTTCTTGTTACAGTGTTAGGGAGTCAGTAAAGAAAGAGGACTTGAGAATGGAGCCTTGTAAGTGAAACAGAGGAGGTATACAATTTGAAGCAGATTAGTGAGTTCGTTGAAATAGAAAGAAAAGAAAAAGGTAGTGTATTTAGACAACAGAATAGACATGCTAAATTTTAATAAATTGTGAAATTGAGAAAAAAGAAGTTCAGGGCAGTTTGGGGGCAATCTGGGACATACCAAGATGTTGAACTTGAAAGGAACAGATTCACTGTACAATGCTTTGTCTTAGATGTAAATCTGCTGAACAATTACCAACATTTCAAGTATAATGTGTCATGTTAATGGGAATAATAGTTACCATATGTCCTCGGTCAAGATATCCAACTATTAGGTCACCTTGTTTCATCATTGTTAAGTGTAGCCAGAGACTGAAAAATTATTCACACTGTTTAATAAAAATCAGTACTTCCATTTCCATTTCATTAGAAGCAGGACCAGTGCCACAATGGGAATAGCCACCAATAGCAGACAATGAGGGAAAAGCTAGCTGGTCCTCCATTGTCATTAAAATTTGGAAATGTCACTAATGCTTTGATTTATTTGCATTGTAGTCTTGATTCTGATGTTAGATACAGAAAAAAAAACTGGGCTCGTCAGTGTATCCCTCTATGTCATAGGAGTTTTAATCTAGAGGGGTTAAATCTGGAATGGCTAGGTGGCCTCACTAGGTATATGATGCTGGGCAAGTCACAGCCTCTCTTTGCCTCAGTTTCCTCATCTGTAAGATAGAGATAATAATAATACTTAGGGTTGTTGTGAGAATCAAATAGGATAATTTTTGTAAAGTGTTTTGAAAACCTTAAAGCATTATATAAATAAATATAGTTATCACTTGTATTGTTGTTATTGTTATTAACCTTATGTAGCCTTAAGTTAGCAGCTCTATCACTGATGAAGGAATCTTTATGTTATAAGCCCTCTGAGGGCAGATATTGTATCTTTCATTTTTAATCTAACCTAGCATGATAACGGTTCTATAGTTCATGTCACCTGACTTACCTGTAATGCTTTTCCACCTTAGGTAAACTAGAAGATTTCCTGGTTGAAAGTAAAAGATGTATTGAGCACTGTATTGTTGCAATTTCCCTGGATGTCACTAACAGCAAGCTGCTCGCAACTGCTCTGTTCAACAACCAGGCATACCATTCACCCGGAACAGCCACTGCAGTTTTGGACAATATCCTATTTATGTGCTCTCAGGCCCTGATGCTTCAATTATGGTTACCAATAAGCCTCAGCCTGTCAGTGTCTTCAATAATGTGAAAAATATCTTTCTTGAGTATGTGACTACCCTTCTCCTGGGGTTGGGGACCTTCATATATGTGCTATTTCTACCTCCTTAGTGGTTTATTTGTCAATTTATTTAGGATTTATTTAGGAAAGCGGCAGCTGTGGTAATCTTTCCTACTATCCATATGAACTAATGTCTTTCCATGTCCTATCTCTTTCAGTAATACTAATGGATATGAAATTGCCATGAGTCTATCCTTGGGCCTGTCTACCTTGGTCAGTACTTTTTCTGTCCAGACAGTCAGTGAGAGAGTAAATAAAGTGAAGCACATCCATTTTGTGGCTGGTGTATATGTCCTAATTTTCTGGTTGTCTGCCCTGCTATGGGATCTCTTCAACTTCTTCATTACCAGTTTACTGTTTCTGGTAAGTACCAAGTGAGTATGTGTCAAGGTCAAGTCTCTTCTTGTACCAGCATCTCTCTCTCTAGCCAGTGCTGTTCTGAATTCAAACCAAATCAGAAAGGATCTGTAGCTGAGGACTGAAGACTCAACTACTAATACTGGGAAATCCAATGTGGAATCCCTAATCCGAGCAGTTCCTCTGTCAGCAGAAAAAGGTAAATATGTTGGTAACCTGGTATCTGTAGAAATAGAGGCGACCTTTCTTCATTTTACTTGCCAGCATATACTAGTCATGGGAGTTCTCCAAAAACAGAATGATTATTTTTGTCATGTCATGTTAAGTGACCAGCCCTATACTTTTCAAGTCTATAATAAACTTTTAGCCCTGTCCTTGGTGTACCTGCTTGTCCCCCATTATACTAGTAATATACATGCAGTTTTACTTTTTCTACTTTTAAAGGTTCTATTTGAATATACTAGTATGGCCAGGTATAGATACACAGAGGAGAAAATACTCTCGTTTTTTTCCTCCTTTCCACTGGTCAGCCATGACTGGTAACTTCCACTGGAGCCCTTTGAAGAAACCTACATACTGTGGAACCACCCCTGAGCTGATTTGTCAACTTTAAAATGTCCATCAAAGTACTTTGTCACCCTTTGCACAGAGGTCCTGATACGTTTCCAGCTAGCTAGATCTTTCAGTCTATGCACTATTATTCCTCCTGGACCTGCTCAGCTGATGGGGTCAGGGAAAGGATTGATTAAAGATAGAGGCTACTGTGCTAGCAAGTTATTCTTGTATATAGAGAATATAGTTTCTGAGAGTCAAGAGGTGAGCTGTTATTATAAGGTCAGTTATCAAACAGCAAGTGAGCTACGATATAGTAGTGGCATCTTCAGGCCCAGGACCCTGAATCCAAAAGCCTTGGGAATAGTAATGCCTCCTAAACTTACGTCTTCTGGCCCAGCCCCTGAAGACATCATTAGGGGAGAAGTTATTACAGAAGGGGCCCACCTCCTTTATCACCACCAAGGAGTGCTGCATATTTACAACCAGCAGGCAGATAAGCACAAGAACCCTCAGAGTGGCTGCACCTCTTACACCACCAGTCTTGCTGCCAGCCTAGGTCTCACAAGTATCATGTGGGACAGTGACTCATGTAGAGAAGGGGCCATTCACAGGGCAGGCAGGGCAACCTAGCTAAAGCAACAAGAGACCCTGTGGGAGAAAGAGGAGGTAATTCAAAATACAACCTCCACCATCTCTCCTCTGGCCCCATGGAAAGAGTCCGGGAGCCTGAAGCCAAGAGTTTTTGGAATAGGTGATTCAAGAATAGTTCTAACCAAAGATAAAAACAAAATGAACAGTAGTGATATTTTTATAGGGCTTTAAGGTTTAAACACTTCTTCATATACATTATATGATTTAAGTCTCAGAAAACTTCATGAGGTAAATACTACAGGTATAATTTGCTGCATTCAATTTTATTTTCAGTTGCAGATTCTCTCTCTTCCCTCCCCAACTTGCCCCTATGTATCAGAAAGGCAAGAAATATAAAATCTATTACAATAGGAAGTCATGCAAACCAAATTTCCACATTAGCCATGTTCTGACCAAAAAAAAAAAAAAAAAGATCGTAGAGTCTGGGACACAGTCAAGATGGCAGAATAAAAGCAGCTTGAGCTCTCACTCAAACCTCTCCAAATACCTGTAAAAAATTACTCTGAACAAATTCTAGAGCAGCAGAACCCATAAAAAGACAGAGTGAAACAAATTTCCAGCTGAAGACAACTGGAAGGTAAACAGGAAAGGTCTGTTGTGGCAGTCAGAGAGGAGCACAGTACAACTCAAAACATGCCAGCAAAGACTGGACCTCTGCAAACCCAGAGCACACCTCAAGGGACTGAATCACTGGCAGCTGTGGCAGTTTTGAGACTTCTCAACCCACAAATGCCAAAGACAACTTAGAAGGTCTGTAGGAAAGGTTTGTGAGACTTGAGTGAAAAAGGAGCATGGTCTGGCCCCAGCCGTGGTGTAGCCCCAGGTGGCAGATGCTTCTGGAGCTCTCGGCCCACAGAGAGTTAGGGGGGTCAAGCAGTTGATCAGAGGGGGATTTCAGGGATCTCTTTGCTGGCACTGAGTCAGGATTCTCTTGTTTTGCCCAAACCTGGATCTGGATCACAGTCCTGGGTGGCAGTTCTCGGGTGAGGAAGAGCGCTGGCAAGGTGGAGCTTTTGGTGGCAGTGAAGAAGGAATCCTCCTCACAGTTCCAAGAATAAAAAGAGTGCTTGTGGTCACTCACAGACCAGAATACAGGCCAGGAGAGGAATGAACACCCCTCCTTCGATAATACCACCTTGGAAAAACTGCAAATTTACAGGTCCCTAGAAGTATTCTCTGAAAACAGCTGCACAAAATCCCTGAAGCTCGAGACAGTACACCCTCCATACTGGAAGCAGAGCCCTACCTTAACAAAGAGTTTAAAAGTCAAGTAATTGTCTGCGGATATGGGCAGGCAGTGGAAAAAAACTCAGACTATGGAATCTTACTTTGCTGACAAAGAAGATCAAAACATACACTGAGAAGACAACAAAGTCAAAGCTCCTACATCCAAAGCCTCCCAAGAAAAAATATGAATTGGTCTCAGGCCATGGAAGAGCTCAAAAAAGGTTTTGAAAATCAAATAAGGCAAATAGAGGAAAAATTGGGAGGAGAAATAAGAGTGATGCAAGAAAATCATGAAAAACAAGTCAACAGCTTGGTAAAGGAGACCCAAAAATTACTGAAGAAAATAACACCTTAAAAGATAGACTAACCCAAATGGCAAAAGAGGTCCAAAAAGCCAATGAGGAGAATGCCTTAAAAAGTAGAATTGGCCAAATGGAAAAGGATGTCCAAAACCTCACTGAAGAAAATAATTCCTTAAAAATTAGAATGGAGAAAATGGAAGCTAATGATTCTAAGAAACAGTAAAACAAAACCAAAAGAATGAAAAAATAAAAGATGTGAAATATATCATTGGAAGAACAACTGACCTGGAAAATAGATCCAGGAGAGACAGTTTAAAAATTATTGGACTACCTGAAAATCAAAAAAATATCCTAGATCAAAAAAAGAGCCTAGACATCATCTTTCAAGAAATTATGAAGGAACACTGTCCTGATATTCTAGAACTAGAGGGTAAAATAAACATTGAAAGAATCCACCTGATATCCACCGCCTGAAAGAGATCCCAAAAGGAAAATTCCTAGGAATATTATAGTCAAATTCCAGAGTTCCCAAGTCAAGGAGAAAATATTGCAAGCTGCCAGAAAGAAACAATTAGAGTATTGTAGAAACACAATCAGGATAACACGAGATTTAGCAGCTTCTATGTTAAGGGATTGGAGGGCTTGGAATATGATATTCTGGAGGTCAAAGGAGCTAAAATTAAAGCCAAGAATAACCTACTCGGCAAAACTGAGTATAATCCTTCAGGGGAAAAAAATGGAAATTCAATGAAACAGAAGACTTCCAAGCATTCTTGATGAAAAGACCAGAGCTGAATAGAAAATTTGACTTTTAGATACAAGACTCAAGAGAAGCATGAAAAGGTAAACAGGAAAGAGAACTCATAAAGGACTTATTAAAGTTGAACTGTTTATATTCCTACATGGAAAGATGATATTTGTAACTCATTAGACCTTTCTTAGTATTAGGGTAGTTACAGGAAATGTATATACATATACATATATATACATATATATGTATATGTATATAGACAAAGGACACAGGGTGAGTTGAATATGAAAGGATAATATCTAAAAAATAAAATTAAGGGGTGAGAGAGGAATGTACTGGGAGAAGGAGAAAGGGAGAGGTAGAATGGGGTAAATTATTTTACGTAAAAGAGGCAAGAAAAAGCTTTTACAGTGGAGAGGGGAAGAGGGGGAAGTTGAGGGGGAATGAGTGAACCTTACTCTCATTGTATTTGGCTTAAGGAGGGAATAACATACACACTCAATGGGTATGGAAATCTATTTTACCTTACAGGAAAGTAGGGGAGAAAGGGATAAGAGAGGGGGGATGATAGAAGGGAGGGCAGATTGGGGGAGGAGGTAATCAGGAGCAAACACTTTTGAGGAGGGACAGGATCAGAGGAGAGAATAGAATAAATGGGGGGTGGGTGGGAAATATAATTAGTCTTTCACAACATGACTATTATGGAAGTGTCTTGCATGACTACACTTGTATAACCTATGTCTAATTGCTTGCCTTCTCAGTGAGGGTGGGTGGGGAAAGAGGAAGGGAGAGAATTTGTAACTCAAAGTTTTAAAAATGAATGTTAAAATTATTTTTACATGCAACTGGGAAATAAGATATACAGGCAATGGGGTATAGAAATCTATCTTGCCCTACAGGAAAATAGAAAGGGAAGAAGATGAGGGGAGGCGGGATGATAGAAGGGAGGGTAGAGTGGCGGAAGGGGAAATCCAAATGCATGCTGTCTTGGGGTAGGAAGAGGGGAGAGATGGGGAGAAAATTTATAGCAGCCCTTTTTTATGATGCCAAAGGATTAAAAATTGAAGGGATGGGAAATGACTGAATCAGTTGTAGTATATGATTGTAATCAAATGCTATTGTACAAGAAATAAGGAAGTGGTTTCAGAAAAACTTAGAAAATCTTATATAAACTGATGAAAAGTAAAGTTAATAGAACCAAAAGAATATTGTACACAGTAAAAGCAGTATTATAATGATAGCGAAATGTGAAAGACTTGACTACTTTGATCAATACAATAATCAATATAGTTCCAAAGGACTCATGATGAAAATGCTATTCACTTCTAGAGAGAGAATTGATGAATTCTGAGTGTAGATTGAAGCATACTTTTTTCACTTACACTGTTTTTCTTGCTTTTTTGGTAACAAAACTAATGTAGAAATGTTTTGCGTGACTTCTCGTGTATAATTGATAGCATTTTTTGCCTTCTTAAATAATCTCAAATAGTTGCCTTCTCAATGGGTAGGGATGGAGAGAATTTAGAACCCAAACCTTTTTTTTAAATGAATGTTTAAATAAGGTATAATTTTAAAAAGAAGCTATACAGAAGGATTATCTTTATGGAGCCCACACTTAGTGTTTACTGTAGATTATGCAAGAAAATGGTAGAAATTACCTTATATATCAACATAGGTTATGTAAAAAGTTAATGCCTACTTACTGTCTTGCAAGACATGACCTGTTGGCCAGAATTCTTCCCTCCTTGAACTAATTCAGATAACAGTGATACTTGTTTCTCACCACCACCATTTTCCCTTCCATTGTATAAACTCCTGCTTGCATACCCCATTTATATGAAATAATTTTCACCTTTCTTTCTTTCCCTTTTTCCTCTCTCTCTTTCTTGCTCTTACACTTTTGATGGGAATGGGTGTTGTATTTTGATAGATGCTTTTTCTGCATCTATTGAGATAATCATATAACTTCTATTAATTTTGTTGTTATATGGCTAATTATGCTGATAATTTTCCTGATATTGAACCAACTCTGCATTCCTGGTATAAATCCTACCTGGTCATAGTATATTATTCTCATGATAAGTTGCTGTAGTTTTTTTGTGTTTTGGGTTTTTTTGCTAATATTTTATTTAAAATTTTTGCATCTATATTCTTTAGGGAAATTGGTTTATAATTTTCTTTCTCTGTTTTGGCTTTCCCTGGGTTAGGTATCAGCACCATATTTATGTTATAAAAAGAATTTGGTAGGGCTCCTTCTTTGCCTATTTTCCCAGATAGTCTGTATAGTATTGGAATTAATTGTTCTTTAAATGTTTGATAGAATTCACTTGTAAATCCATCTGGCCCTGGAGATTTTTGCCTAGAGAGTTCATTGATTGCTTGTTCAATTTATTTTTCTGAGATGGGATTATTTAAGTATTTTATTTCCTCTTCTGTTAAGCTGGACAATTTTTTTGTAATTAATCATCTATTTCACCAAGATTGTCAAATTTATTGGCATACAGTTGGGCAAAATAGTTCCTGATTATTGTTTTAATTTGCTTTCATTGATGGTTAATTCACCCTTTTCATTTTTGATGCCGGTTATTTGGTTTTCTTCTTTCTTTTTTTAAATTAAATTAACCAAAGGTTTATCTATTTTATTGTTTGTTTTTTTCTCACAAACCAGCTTAGTTTTATTTATTAGTTCAATAGTTTTCTTAATGTCAATTTTATTAATCTCTCCTTTTGTTTTCAGAATTTCTAATTTGGTGGGGATTTAATTGGGGATTTTTAATTTGTTCTTTTTCTGGGTTTTTTTTTTAGTTGCATACCCAATTCATTGATCTCCTCTTTCTCTATTTTATTCATGTGAGCATTTAGAAATATAAAACTTCTCCTAAGAACTTCTTTTGCTGCATCCCATATGTTTTAGTATGTTATCTCATTATTGTCATTCTCTTGAATGAAATTATCGATTGTTTCTATGATTTGTTGTTTGATCCACTCATTCTTTAGTATTAGATTATTTCGTTTCCAGTTAATTTTTAGTCTATCTTTCCATGGCCCTTTATATGTAAAATTTTTATTGTGTCATGATCTGAAAAGGATACATTTAATATTACTGCCTTTCTGCATTGTATTATGAAGTTTTTATGCCCTAGTATGTGGTTATAATTTTTGTGTAGGTGCCACCATATGTAACTTTTCTCAAATTGTATTCAACCCCTCAACTTCTTTCTTGTTTATTTTGTGGTCAGATTTATCCAGTTCAGAGAAGAGAAGGCTGAGGTCCCCCCACAAGTATAATTTTGCTGTCTAGAACTTCTCGTCTAAGAATTTGTATGCTATACCACTTGGTGCATATATGTTCAGTAATGACATTACTTCATTGTCTATGGTGCCTTTTTGCAGGACATAGTTTCTTTCCTTATCTCTTTTAATTAGATTTCTTTTTGCTTTTGCCTTGTCTGAGATCAGGATTGCTATCCCTGCTTTTTTTTTAACTTCTGCTGAAGCATAATATATTCTACTCCAGCCTTTTACCTTTACCCTGTGTGTATCCCTCTATTGCTAATGTATTTCTTATAAACAACATATTGTAGAATTATGGCTTTTAATCCATTCTGCTATCCACTTCCATTTTATGGAAGAGTTCAACCCATTCATATTCACAGTTATGATTACTATCTGTATCATTCTCTCCATCCTATTCTCCCCTCCCTCATTTATGCTTTTCTTTCTCCTTTTCTCCCTTTCCCTCTTCACTAGAGTTTTGCTTTTGACCACTGCCTCCATCAATCTGCCTTCCCTTCTGTCAGCCCCTTCCCTTTTCTTTCCTTTTTCCCTTACTACTTCTTCCCTCCCTTGTATCCCTCCTTCCCTTTTCTTTCCCTTTTCCCCTCCTACTGCCTATATAGCAAGTTAGATTTTTATTCCTGAGTATGTTATTCCCTCCTTGAGCTAAACCCAATGAGAGCAAAGTTCATACAATGCTCATCTCCCTCCCTTCTTTCCCTCTACTGTAAAATGTCTTTGTGCCTCTTCATGTGATGTAATTTACCCTTTTCTGCCTCCTCCTTTCCTCTTTTCCAATTACAGTTCCTTTTCACCACTTCATTAGGTTTTTATCATCTCATCAAAGTCAACTTAAACCCATCCCCTCTGTCTATGTATATCCTTTCTAAATGTTGTAATAAAGATACAATTCTCAAGACTTATAAGTATCATCTTCCCATGCAGGGGATGTAAACAGTTTACCTTTATTGAATAACATGGGTTTTTTTTTTTCCCTTTCCTCTTTACCTTTTCATACCTCTCTTGAGTCTTGTATTTGAAGATCAGGTTTTCCATCAGGAGAATGTGGATGTCCCCTGTGTCATTGAATGTCCATTTCCTCCCCTGAAAGATTATGCTCAGTTTTGCTGGGTAGTTGATCCTTGATTGTAATCCAAGCTCCTTTGTTTTACGGAATATCATATTCCAAGCCCTCTGATCTTTTCATGTAGAAGCTGCTAAATCTTGTGTTATCCTGGTTGTGTTTCCATAATACTCAACTTGTTTCTCTCTGGCTGTTTGCAGGATTTTCTCCTTGACCTGATAATTCTGGAATTTGCCTACGATTTTCCTTGGCATTTTCAATTTGGAATCTCTTTCAGGAAGTGATTGGTGGATTCTTTCAATGACTATTTTACCCTCTGGTTTTAGGGCCGCAAGGCAGTTTTCCTTGATGATCTCTGGAAGGATGCTGTCCAGGCTCTTTTTTTTTCATCATGGCTTTCAGGTAAACCGATAATTCTTAAGTTATCTCTCCTGGATCTGTTTTCCAGTTCAGTTATTTTTCCAATGAGGTATTTCACATTTTCTTCTCTTTTTTTCATTCTTTTGACTTTGTTTTACTGATTCTTGATGTCTCATAAAGTTATTAGCTTCCAATTGCCAATTATAATTTTTAATGAATTGTTTTCTTCAGTTAGCTTTTTTACCTCTTTTTTCATTTTGCTAATTTGATTATTTTTAGGGAGTTGTTTTCTTCAGTGTACTTTTTTTTCCCATTTTGTCAACTGTATTTTTAAAGGAATTGTTCAATTTTTCTTCTACCTCCCTTATTTGATTTTCAAAATTCATCTTGAGCACTTCTAAGTAGGTGTTTTAGGCTTGAGACCAGTTCATATTCCCCTCTGAGGTTTCAGATGTGGGTATATTGACAATGTTATCCTCTTCTGAGTTTGTGTTTTGATCTTCCCTGTCACTAAGATACTTTTCTATGGTCATTGTTTTTCTATGTTGCTTCTTGCTCATGTTGTTTGCCATTTTCTGCCTTTTAAATTTGATCTCTACTTCTGGGGCACAGGGGGCACTGTTCCAGGCTTCTTATGCTGGGAGCCAGGGGTCTGGTTACTGGTTTGCTGAGGTGAGGCTTGCCACTGGCTTGCTGGGATACCTCACTTCCTGTACTGGTCCTATTCTGAGCCACAACAAGACGACCTTTCCCATGAATCCCCCTAACCTCATAAGCTACAAGACTTCTGTATCTAGTCTTTCTGCCGACTCTACTAATTCAGGATTTTTGCTTAGGTAGTATTCTCTTGGTTTTTCAGTAAGGGAGGATGAGAGCAACTACCGGCTTACTTTGCCATCCTGGTTCCTGGAAGTTGAAATCGGTGACTTTCAAACATTCAGTCTGTGGGGCTAATAGCTCCAGGAGCAGTGGCAATAGCCACTGCTACCACTGCTGCCACTGCTACTACTGCTGATTCAGTCACTCCGAAGGCCTGTTCCTGGTTTGCTGGTGCAGGGGCTGTATTGGCATGCCCTGCAGCCCTTCACTGGACTGTGCTTCTCTCTCACTCAGTTCCAGCCGACCCCTCACACTGACCTTCTAAATTGTCTCTGGTGTCTGTGGGCTGAGAAGACTGGAAACCACCACTGCTGCGGGTGATTCAGTCCCCCAAGACCTGCTCTGGCTTGGCTTAGGCCAGGTCTGCATTATGCCCTGCATGCTAGATACTTCTCTCTTAGGCCAGTGCAACAGACCTTTTCTATCAACCTTTCAGGTTATCTTGGGCTGGAAATCTGCATTACTCTGTCTCTTTGTGGGTTCTGCCAGTCTAGAATCTGTTCAGAGTCACTTTCTAGAAGTATTTGAAGAGATTTGGGGGGAGAGCTCAGGCAAGTCCTTGCTTTCACTCCTTCATCTTGACTCTGCTTCCATCAGCTGTTTTTCTTATGAGATATTTCACATTTCTTTTATTTTTTTTTCAGTCTTTACTTTGTTTTATTGTTCCTTATGTCTCATGGAGTTATTAGCTTCTATTTGTCTGATTCTAATTTTTAAGGGGTTATTTTCTTCAGTGAGGCTCTGTACCTCTTTTACAATTTGATCAATTCTAATTTTTATGGAGTTATTTTATTTGGTATTTTTGTACTTCTTTTACCAAGCTGTTAGTTCTCTTTTCATAATTTTCTTGCATTGCTATCATTTCTTTTCCCATTTTATTCTCTATCACTCTGATTTTACATCTTTTTTTTTACTCTTTTTATTATCTCTTTGTTTAACTCTTCTAGGAATTCCTGATGGGCTTGTATCCAATCTGTATGTTTCTTTAAAGCTTTACTTACAAATGTTTTCAAGTCATTTTCTTCTGTGTTTGTGTCATGAGCTTCTTGTCACCATACTAGCTTTTTACAGTAAGGGGTTTTTGTTTGTTTACACATATTTCCAGCCTACTGAACTTTATCTTAAGTTTTGTGTTCTGCTCACCTCTTCGGGGGATATCTGGCCTGAGCTTCTGTCCTTTTATGTTCTTTTGCTGTTTTAACAGCTTGGTCAGAAACCTAGGGTAATAGGTGACAGAGCTGCCATATGGCACCTATTCCTGTTCCCAATGATAGTACAAGGGTCTCCTGGGACATCTTAAATGTTTAGTCCCATTCCCATCCTTGGTTGCTGGTGTGTCCCTGCTGCTGTTCCTTGCTCCCCGCCCCGATCTAGCCCACTGCTGCTTCTGCCTTTTGTGCTGCTGCCATTGCTGAGCTCCTGGCCCCTCCTGGCTGGAAAAATGACCCAATGGGACTTTTTCTTGGCTTTCTGAATTATAATTCTGTCTGGAGGATGTGAAGGAATGAAGGTAAAACTCCCACTCTGCCATCTTAACTCCACCCCTTCCTTCCCTTGGGGTGGTAACATATCCACATAGATATCAGAGAGAGGGTAGAGGCAAAAATAATAAGATTTAGCTACTGATTAGATATGTGGGAGCACTACAATTCTTCTAGTCTCCTAAGTTTGTAACCCTAGCCCTTAACTTGTTCCCCCTTACCTCATATATCCAGGCAGTTGCCAAATCTTGCCATTTGTACCTCCTCAAGATCTTGCACATCCGTCTCTTCTCTCCTTATATTCTCACTGCCATAGTTCAGGTCCTTATCACATCTTGCTCAGATTATTTCAACCTCATCCTCATTGGTCTCAAAGCTTTTTCCCACTTTAGTACATTCTCCACACTGCTACAAAAGTGATTCTCTTTAAGCTCAAATCTGACAATACCACTCAAGTACTCAGTAAACTCTAGTGCCTCCCTATTCCCTTTAAAATATAAACTATTTAGGTTTTATTTTATATTTTTCTGAATTTAGAGCTTTTCCATATACAAATCAGAACACATAAAGAGAAACTAGGGATTTTATATGAAACCATGAATCTCCGTTTCATGCTGTTTCTTTATGTGTATGTATATAATATATGTATATATAAAATATATGTGTATATGTAAATAGGTTATATCATCCCACAAATTACTTTCAGAACAGCCCTGCTTGTCTATGCTTCCTTCTGAACCTCCTTCTGTTACCTTGTGTTCATTTTTAAAAATACTTCTATGGTGAGCTTTTTTGGATTTTTTTGCATCACTATTGTTTACCTCTTCCTTTTCTTCCAAATTTCCTAGCTAAATCAAGAACTGAAAGGAAAAAAACTTTTAACCAATAAGCATAATCAAAACAAATCCAAACAATGATCATCCATCTTTCTGTACCTTGAGCCCATCATCTCTCAGTCAGGAAGTAGGTAATACACTTTATCGTTGGTTGTTGCATTGATCAGAGTTCTTAAGTTTTTTTTTTAATTTATTTTTAGTTTTCAACATTCGCTTCCACAAGATTTTGAGTTCCAAATTATCTCCCCATCCATCCCTCCCCCCCACCCCATGATGGCATGCATTCTGAATACCTCTTCTCCTAATCTGCCCTCCCTTCTATCTCTCCCTCCCTTTTCTTATCCCCTTCCCCTTCAATTTTCCTGTAGGGCTGGATAGATTTCTATGCCCCATTTCCTGTATGTCATATTTCCCAGTTGCATGTGAAAACAATTTTTTTTTAACTTTTGTTTTTAAAATTTTGGGTTCCAAATTTTCTCTCTTCTTCCCTCTCCACCCACCCTCATTGAGAAGGCAAGTAACTCGATAAAGGTTATATATATAGCTATGCAAAACACTTCCATAGTAGTCATGTTATAAAAAACTATATTTCCCTTAATCCTATGCCGCCCCCCCTTTATTCTATTCTCTCTCTCTTTTTTGTTTTTTTTTTAATTTTATTAATTTATTTTGATTTATCAACAATCACTTCCATATTCTTTTGAGTTGTAAATTTTTCTCCCCCTTCCTCCCCAAGACGGCACACAATCTGATATAGGCTTTACATTTACATTCCTATTAAATCTATTCTCTCTTTTGACCCTGTGCCTCCTTAGAACTGTTTGCTTTTGATTACCCCCTCCCCCAATCTGCCCTCCCCTCTGTCATCTTCTTGCTGTCTTGTCCCCTACTCCCCCCTATTTTCCTGCAGGGTAAGCGATATTTCCATACCCAATTGAGCGTGTATGTTATTCACTCCCTAAGCCAAATCCAATGAGAATAAGATTCACTCATTCCCTCTCACCTTCCCCTGTTTCCCCTCCACTGTAAAAGGCTTTTCTTGTCTGTTTCATGTAAGAAAATTTACCCCATTCTACCTCTCCCTTTCTCCTTCTCCTAGTATAATCACCCCTTAATTTTATTCTCCAGATATGACCCCTTCATTTTCAACTCACCCTGTCCTCTCTCCCTGTCTCTCTCTCTCTCTCTCTCTCTCTGTATACACACACACACACACACACATATATATATGTACACACACACACACACATATATATATATACACACACACACATACATACATACATATAATTTTTTCCCTCCAGCTGCTCTAATACTGATAAAGGATTCATGAGTTACAAATATCTTTCCTTGCAGAATATAAACAGTTTGACTTTAGTAAGTCTCTTATGATTTCTCTTTCCTGTTTGCCTCTTCATGTTTCTCTTGAGTCTTGTATCTAAAAGTCAAATTTTCTATTCAGCTCTGGTCTTTTCAGCAAGAATGCTTGAAAGTCCTCTATTTCACTGAATATCTTATTTTTTCCCCTGAAGGATTTTACTCGGTTTTGCTGAGTAAGTGATTCTTGGTTGTAATCCTATCTCCTTTGACCTCCAGAATATTATATCCCATGCCCTCTGGTCCCTTAATGTAGAAGCTGCTGAATCTTGTGTTATCCTGATTGTGTTTCCACACTTGAATTGTTTCTTTCTGCCTACTTACAATATTTTCTCCTTGACCTGGGAATTCTGGAATTTGGCCACAATATTCCTAGGAGTTTTCCTTTGGGGATCTTTTTCAGGAGGTGAGCAATGGATTCTTTCAATTTCTATGTTGCCCTCTGGTTCTAAAATGTCAGGGCAGTTTTCCTTGCTAATTTCTTGAAAGATGATGTCTAGGCTCTTTTTTTGATCATGGCTTTCAGATACTCTAATAATTTTTAAATTTTCTCTCCTGGATCTATTTTCCAGGTCAGTTGTTTTTCCAGTGAGGTATTTCACATTCTCTTCTATTTTCTTTCATTCTTTTGGATTAGTTTTACAATGCCTTGATTCCTCATAAAGTCACTAGCTTCCAATTGCTCCATTCTAATTTTTAAGGAAGTATTTTCTTCAGAAAGCTTTTGGACTTCCTTTTCCATTTGGCCAATTTTTCTTTTTAGGGCATTCGTCTCCTTATTGGCCTTTTGGACCTCTTTTGCCATTTGGGTTAGGCTCTTTTTAAGGTGTTATTTTCTTCAGTATTTTTGGGGGTCTCCTTTAGCAAGCTATTGATTTGATTTTCATGATTTTCTTGCATCACTTCCAGTTTTTCCTGTACTTCTCTTACCTGCTTCTCAAAATCCTTTTTGAGCTCTTCCATGGCCTGGGACCAATTCAGATTTTTTCTTGGAGGCTTTGGATGTAGGAGCTTTGGCTTTGTTGTCTTTTTCTAGTTGTATGTTTTGATCTTTTTTGTCACCAAAGAAAGATTCTATGGTCTAACTTTTTGTGAGGTTTGGGTCATGATTCCAGCCAATTACTTGAGTTGTAAACTCTTTGTTAAGGTAGGGGTCTGCTTTCAGTGTGGAGAATGTATTGTCCCAAGCTTTAGGGGTTTTGTGCAGCTGTTTTCAGAGATACTTCTAGGGACCTGTAAATTTTCAGTTCTTCCAAGGTGCTATGATCAAAAGTGAGGTGTTTACTCCTTTTCTGGTCTGTGCTCTGGTCTGTGAGTGACAACAAGCACTCCTTTCTGTCTTGGAACTGTGAGGAGGATTTTCTCTTCACCGCAACTACAAGCTCCACCTTGCCAGCACTCTGCCTTGCCCCAGAACTACCACCCAGAACTGTGACCCAGATCCAAGCATGGGCAAAGCAAAAGAATCCTGCACCAGCAGAGAGATCCCTGCAATCCCTCTTTGATCACCTACTCGATTCCCCCTCAGTCAGTAGGCCAGAAGCTCAGGAGGCAGCCACCGCCCCAGGCCAAGTTTGGGAACTGGAGCTGAGACCACTGTGCTTCTCTCCCTCACCGCAGACACAGACTTTTCCCACTGACCTTTTAAATTGTCTTTGGCATTCATAGGTTTAGAAGTCTAGAAACTGCCCCAGATGCCCAGTAATTCAGTCCTCTGAGGCCTGCTCCAGGTTCGCTGAGGCCTGCCTTGCCTGCTCGCCCACGCCAAACTGTGTTCTTCTCCCAGCCTGACACAATACACCTTTTTGATCAACCATCCAGGTGGCCTTGGGCTGGAAATTTGTTTCACTTTGTCTTTTTGTGGGTTCTGCTGCTTTAGAATTTATTTAGAACTTTTTTTTATAGGTATTCGGAGGGATTTGGGGGAGAGCTCAAGCAAGTCACTGCTTTTACTCTGCCATCTTGGTTCAGCCCCCACCACCACCACCATGGCTTGTTTTTACAAAACAACTGCATTCATTTTTTTCCTTCTTTAATTTATTACTTTATTTTTAGTTTTCAGCATTCACTTCCATAAGCTTTTGAGTTTTAAATTTTTTCCCCCTCGCTCCCCACGATAGTGTGCAATCTGAGATAGGCTCTACATGTACACTTCTATTAAACATATTTTCACATTAGTCATGATGCAAAGAAGAATTAGAACCAATAGGAGGAATCACAAGAAAGAAGAAAAAAAACAAAACAGAAGAAAAAAATAAAAGCAAATAGTATGCTTCAATCTGCATTCTTTCTCTGGATTTTGATAGCATTCTCCATCATGAGACTTTTGGAGATGTCTTAGATCCTTGCATTGCACAATGTGGCTGTTACTGTATACAATGTTCTCCTGGTTCTGCTCACTTCACTCAGCATCAGTCCATACAAGTCTTTCCAGGTTTATCTGAAGTCTACTTGTTCATCATTTTTTATAGCACAATAGTGACAACTGCATTCTTATTAAGCAGCCTTTCTACATTATGGCTAATTAAACATCATTTTGTTAACTGTTAAAATATATAATTGGGAAATGTTTAACAAAATAAATAAAAATACAGTACAACACAGAAAATGGTCATGTATAGGTTTCTAAGTCAATATGCAGCCTACAGGGATCTGTTTCTTTTTGAGTTTGATCCCACTTTGCATATGGCTGAAAGGAAGAAGCTGTGGTATATGCTGCATTGGGGCACTTAGATTTTTGTCTTTGCCTTAGGTGGAGAGACACTGAGAAAAAGGACAAAGGGGATAAGTGGAGTATCCATCTGCAACATTCATAGCTCTGAGAAAAAGAGCAAGGAGGAAGACCTATAAAAAGTTAAAAAGAGTGCAGAATGAGCTGCACCAATTATCACCAGCCTAACAGAATGGCATTTGCTGAGCACCCTAAATAATGAACTACTGGTTGTCAAAAATAGTTCATTTCTTCTTGGGGATATGCAAAGCAACAGGATAGGTAATCTTCCTGCTCCAGAAAGAAGGAAGACTGAAGACAGATTTTGTAGGGGTATGAGAATCATGGTATCAGTATAATATAGATATCAAGGGTCAGGAGGGCTTGAGGGAAGAAGGAAATTCAGGTGGTGGTGTGTATTGGGCAGGGAAAGTTTCCCTGGAACATCTCTCTGCTGCAGGTTTGAACCAGCATTTTCACTGTTATTTAAGGGCTCCCAGAAAGTAGAGAGGGGGCTGGCCCAGGGTGTGGATTCTGGCCTATACTTGGTATGAAAGAATACAGTGATAAGGAAGCATATTTTTTGGCTAAAATCTGTAGAGTAGGCGACCCATAGCTGTGCCTGTGCATTAGAGCCCAGGTGCCTAACGGCTCGCTATCACCATGGAGCCTGATGGGACTTAGAGCCGGGTTTTGTGGGAATCCGCTTCTGCCAGGAATGTAACAACATGCTCTACCCCAAGGAGGACAAGGAGAACCGCATCCTTCTCTACGCGGGTCGCAACTGTGACTACCAGCAAGAAGCCGACAACAGCTGCATCTACGTGAACAAGATCACCCACGAGGTGGACGAGCTGACCCAGATCATCGAGGATGTGTCGCAGGGCCCGACCCTTCCCAGGACCGAGGACCAGCCGTGCCAGAAGTGTGGCCCCAAGGAGTCCGTGTTCTTCCAGTCCCACAGCGCTATGTGCGCACCGCTCCCCACTATGGCCACCTCTGGACAGAGTGACCCGAGCTCCCTGACTGCCTGCACACAGTTTCTTAATAAAACATTTTATGTTTTGGCAAAAAAATAAAATAAAATCTGTAGAGTATACATCCACACAGAGGAGAGACCTCTAGAGACTAGAAGTTAGCAGTGATACAGTTGTGTTACATATGGTTTTAGGGCTTGGACTCCCTTTGTGTTGTCACTGCACGTGGCTGTTGTGTGTGGCAAGTATCCATGGATATTTGTTTTAGTCTGAGCTCAAAACGCATGTTGCTTCAATGACCCTTTGCAGCATGTACCAGAATTGGAGAAGTTATAATGAGAGTTTTAGTCAGATCCAACCTGAGTTGTGTTTATCTTAATTGGACTGTCTAGATTTGCTTATGGTTTTCTACTCCTAGAAAAGGGTTCTACTACTGGTAGCTTCACTAGACAGAATATAATAGTCCAAATTTTCCCTGCTGAGCAATTCTTTGTCCTTCTCCAGAAGCACCAGGAATCTGGAAGTTCAAGCCTGAATCTGTGTCTGCTTAAGGTAGTAGAGACCACTGAAAGACCAGGTGAATTCATGTTGAGGCTGGGAGTGCCAGTTCTTTAGCTATAGGACTAAACACTTTAATGAGTAAAGGGCCTAGCTTTCATTATGCAAGCTGACTTCAGGATATATCTGTGGATCAGCACTTCTTAAACTGTGGGTCATGAAGTGAAAAATATGGCAACAGCAAAAGGTTTCTAAACATGCAATGACCAAAAATTAATTAAAAATCAATCATATAATGTGTCTAAGATGTTTCTGGCTTGCCTGTGTTGCATCACCAGCTTCACTGTAGCCTTGATTCTGAACACAAAGCATATACACTTTGCTCTGCACGTGCCCTCAGGCCACACAATGCTAGTGAACTGAACTCTGCCAAAATACAAAAAGGGGTCACTAGTGGAAAAAATTTAAGAAACTGTACTGTAGATGACTGGGGTGTGGCCAACAAATGGTGGCATGTGGATATAGCAGAATGCTACTGTGCTATAAGAAATTAATGTGATGAATACAGAAAAGTATGGAAAGACTTCTATGTAGTGATGCATAATGAAGTTAGCAGAAGCAAGAAAACCATATACATGATGACTACAGGAATAAGAACTCAAAGCAATAAGGATCTGTACACATATTTGATGCAAGTGTGGGAACTTTGTGAAAAACACAGGTGCATTGCACAGTTCAAAGAACATCATTTAGCCTTGGCCACCATTGAATTCTGTAATGACAGTTCATTTGTCCATCCAAAATCTTTTTATATGACTTTTGGTTTCAATTCTTTGATTTTTTTTCCCCCTGCGCTTACCCTGTGAACCACAGTCCCCAGTGGTTAGTGACAACCTAGGAAAATTAGAAAGTGCCCCAGACCAACTGTCAATGCATTCTGTGGTCAAAGTAGTTCACAAAAGGGAAGCTGACCACCAATATAATCCAAAGGAACACTTAGGTTTCGAGATATTGGTTCTGGCTATCCTAAAACCTGTTCACTGCTAAACCTTTCCAGAAACTAGTAAGCAGTGTTGTAGACTCCTTCTTCCTAATTTATGTGATGAATCATGTGGCCAACTTGCCAGAATAATCCTCATCACATTCACATCCCATGCCTGGAATGCACTCTTTGCCTCTTAGAATCCTTCCCTTCCTTAAAGACAAAAACCAAGCTCCACTTTCTGCATGAGACCTCCTCTCATCCCTGCTCCTACCCCTAGCTTATAATGCCTTCTCATCAAAGGCATTATTTTTTATTATATTTTATATTATATTTATTTTGTATGCATTATATGTACATGTTATCTCCCTAGTTAGAATGTGAGCTCCTTAAAGCAGAGACAGCTTAGTTTTTTTCTTTATATCCCTAGTACAGTACAGTACCTGGTACATAGTAGGTGCTTAGTAAGTGCTTCGTGATTGATTTCCTGGTCCAGGAGATAAGTGCCTAATTTTCTATGTACCTGAGAAAGCATTAATCCCTAGTGGGGTTCCATTAGTCTGGGAATATCTATATGTTGTGAAAGAAGGTGTCTAAGAGCTTGGTCTGGTTATACAAGGTAGCCATCATTTATGAGAACTAGTTCCAAAATATTTGAAGTAGATGCAGTTCAGTTCAACGAACATTTATCACATGTCTCCCATGTGCAAGACACTGTCTTACAAGCATTGATGATACAAAGATGAAAGCCTCTGTCCTGAAAGAGCTTTTGAGTCAGGTTCCATACTGTTTAGCCCCTGTTACCTGATCACAGTGGAAGGCATCTCTGGGCCACGCTACTGGCTTTGATCATGGCCGTGGAGACAAGGGGTACTTTCTTCAAGGGTTATGACTCTAGGCAATAGTTCTTACAGAACAGTGAAATGGGTTATTTCCTAAAGACTAGGTCCTATCTAAGCAGCATAACCACTGGATGTTACTGTTCTCTAGATTTTATTTAAAGATGCTCTGCTTTCCAAGAAGCAGCAAGAGAGCACAGTGGTTGGAACACTGGGCCTGAAAATCAGGAAGAGTCAAGTTCAAATCCAGCCTCAGTCACTTACTAGCTGCACAACCATCCTGTGTTAGTCATTTAACCTCTACCTACCTCAGTTTCTTCATAATAGCATCCACCTCCCAAGGTTGTTGTAAACATCCAATGAGTAATATTTGCAAAGCCCTTAACATAGTGCATAGTGCATAGTGCATAGTAGGTTCTATATAATACTTAGTCCTATCTTCTGTTCCCCAAGAGGTAGTGGGTGGTTGAGCTGAGAATTGAATCTGATTTTTCAAAGCTTCAGGGATGCTGTGGTCTTTACATTAATATTTCTAGTTTAGTGGAAAGATTTGGATTTGGAATAAGAAAATCTTGATTCTGGCCTTAATTCCTGTGTGATCTTGGAAGCAAGTCAACCTTCCTGTGTCTGTTTCCTCATCTATAAAATAAATAATTCACACTCTGTGACCTCTGTGGTCTTTTCCATGGATTCCGATATTCATATCCCCATGTGATTGTGTCATTTGGGAATACCTCTGATCCTTCTTCCCCCAGGGTTCTCCTCTTCAGGCTAAACATCCCCATTTCTTTTAAGTGATTATATATTGTTTTAGAAGCAGTAGTCTACTATGATGGGGAAAGTGTTAGATTTGGAGTCAGGAAAAAAAAGTTTAAATCCTGATGTTGCTGTTTTCTTATCTGATACCTCTGTGTCTTCATCTGAAAAAACAAGGGGGTTGAACTAGATGCCTTCTGAGGTCCCCTCCAGTTATAAATCAATGGTCCTTCCGTCCTATGGTCCTAAGTACAATAGGCTTATTACCTGTCTAGTTAGGGACATTATACTTCTGCTATATTATACATTCCACTTTTTTATATACACTCAATTATTATATACATTTATTATACATTATATACATATGCAGTTATATGCCTTATACATCCTACTTCAACCTAAGAGCATGTTAGGATTTGTTGGTTTTGTTGTGCATTTTTGATTTTGGTTTTGTTCTTGGCTACATCTCATTACATTATTCACTCATATTGAATTTGAAATCTTGCTCCCAATATCTAGTCCTCATGTAGGATAAGAATAATGAGAATGCAAGTATTCCGGGCATAGCAAGTTTGCAAAGCAGTCACTTTTACCCCCCAGATCACATAACTGATGATGTCCAGGGCAGGGTTAAAGAGCCTTCTAAAGACTTAATAGGACAGGTCACCTAACATATCAGTATTCAGGGACACTTGATCTAGAAACCATCTTATGGGTGAGTAACTGGATTGTCTTCTTTGGGCTTCTTAGAATGCTCTGTAAATAGATATCTACACTGGTGAAAGGACTCCCTCCCCCTCCTTCATGTTTTTGACCAAGGAAAAGTCATTCCACTAAAAAAAAAAAAACCACAAAGAAGATGATACTGGGGGTGGAAAGGGCTAGCTTTCCTTGGTGTTGAACATTGTTGGGTGGGTAAATGGTTCTATCCTTCTTCCTCTTTTAAAGATGACACGAGCCCTTTCTTTGGCATTGAGGATTAGTTTCTTGCTTGTTGTGTGGACCATGTTCTTTCCCTCCCTCCCAGCCTAGCTCCTGTACTTGATCTTAGGTGTTATTCAAAGCCTATGGTATAGAAGCTTTCTACAATCACTTTATGGATATCCTGATGATCTTCATGTTATATGGATGGTCCGTCATTCCCTTCATATACCTCTTGAGCTTCTTATTTTTATGAAGTGCTACTGCCTATACCACGCTTGTTGTATCTAACTTCTTTTCAGCATGGACCAGTTTCTTATTTGCCTTCCTTATAGAAATTAAAGGTAAGTTAGGGCAGCAAGATCCACCTCCCTCTCTGTTCAGCTGCCTTCTCCCCCAATTCCCCACCAAATGAGCCCTTTTTCAGAATGTAGTCATTAACAAGTCAAAAAGCAGCAGTTTGAAGGATGGGAATTTTGCTAGGCAGAGAAGGTGCTGTGGACCTGTGAAAACCAGTGCTTGTGGGGAATCTTCCAATCAAGAAGGTCAAACTCAGCCTGACTGAGTTGCTCCCTGATTAGAAAGTTAGAAAGTTTAGAAAAGACAAGTTTATGTGAAGCAACTGTTTTCTCCACTGCTGTCATTGCCCCTCCCTAAATTTCCTCACCATGTTGAGTATCTGTTGGAAGGGGTTTCTCACTTGGATGCTATTAACAAAGTCAGTGAGGCAGCTGGCAAAGCAAGACATCATTCCCAATTGTGAACCCTTGAGAAGAGAAGGTATGTTTCGTTTCTGGACAGGTAGGTTGTTCACATTCTTTGTAGAAGATGCAATTGGGCAAGGTGAGTTTGATGAAGCTAGTTCATTTGGGAATACTTTTATTTTACACAAGAGGAAAGCAGGATCTTTGTAGGAGAAAGCAAGATCCGGGTTCAACTCCTGCCTCACACTTAAAATGGGCAAGTCATTTATCCTCTTAGCCTCAGTTCCTGTGTAAGTTAGGGATAAATAATAATAATAATATCTATAGTACC